TGCCCCATATATATACATATATACATATATAATTCTATTTTGTTCGGAAATAGTTCGCAAATATCGACAAGCTAAAACATTAAATATCTCTAGTAGATTAGTCTTTTAGTCTGAGAACGAATTCTTACAGAGCTGTTCTTTATACGTACTTCATATATAGGAAATACCTATATCAGATTTCGATGTCGCCTATATGGATTTTTTATGAACATTTGAAAATGAAGTCCAATCGATCGTTTAAGCTTTTATGGGCCTGTATGTGTGGAAAATTACTGGGTAGCACTTCAGAATGCGATAGCGTTACGAAATTATTTCGATCGAGCCAAATACAGTGTGAACTATATGCACATACCAACATGCATGCATGCATGTATATACATACATACATACATACATGTGTACAGTGAAAGCTCTGCTAACGAACCGCTATCGTGGCAATGCATTAGCTTTACTGTTCACCAGATCCTTCAGAGATATAAAAAATACGTTTGATAATGAAAAGAATTTACATACTTTTAAGGATATGTTCAATCTAGAACATGGTCCCTGTACTTGAGCAAAATAAAGGAAACTGCAGACAGTCTTTAATGTTAGATCAAGCGCGTTTTTCTATATATGCATTATATATGAAAGTATATATCGTGTGGTTATATGATTGTATGTGTGTGTAGTAAGTATATTTGGCTACAGCTTGGCTTTCGCATCGATCAGTTGCCAAAGTCGAGGTCGCACTGTATACAAGCAAAGCACACACACACACGCATAACTTATAGAGAATCGCATGCATGCTCGCGCATGTGTGTGTGTGTGCATGTGCCAATTGTCGGTTGGTTCATTTTGGAGCTGGTGAACTCATCAGCACAACGAGGAAGGGGGCCACAGTGCAGCTTCTGCATATGCTGCTAAAAACACAAAAAAAAGTAAACAGCAAAAAAAAAAAACATCATTTAAAAAGTGCAGCGCAGTCAGAGGCGGAGCGGCAGGTCAGCTACAGCAACGGCAGCGGTAGCGGCAGTGATCGTGTTGGTAGGGCAAAGTCAGCGTTGGTAGGGGGCGCAGCGTGTGAAATGTGATTTGATGACTGCGGCAATGGCAACGGCAGCAGCAGCGACAACGACGGCGGCGACGGTGAGAGAGGCAGATCGGCGTAAAGGCAAAGGCAAAGGCAACGGCAAAGGCAACGGCATCGACAGCGGCAGCGGCAGCGGCGACAACAACGACGACAGTATGTCTGGCGGCGTAGCATGAACTGGCGACATTCTGTCTGTGCCGATCGGATGCGCTGTTGCCGCACTTCAGAGCGAGCAGCGCACACTCTATGCTGTGTGTGTTGAGTGCTACGAGCATGAGCATGAGCTCGCGCACTAGTTGTTCGTGTAGCAGCAGTACCTGTATCTCTTTCTCTCTCTCTATCTGTGTATGTGAGAGCGAATGAATGAACGAACGACCCACACTCCAAAAACACAAACTCACGCACACACATACACATTCATCCACATGCACATGCAGCGTATAGCGAGCGCAGACAGAGCGACGACGACAAATGAATTGCGGATGAATGTCTGGCGAGAGCAGCGCCACTGAACGAGTGAGCAAGCAAGCGAGCGAGTTAAGAATTCATTCTGTGTTCATTCTCACACATACCAACTCCCACTCGCACACACACAAGCGCACATTAAGACGACAACTGCTTTTGGCGCTTGTTCATGTTGTCGTCGCTGCCCACGTTCGTTATAGCCGTCGTTGTTGTTGCTGCCACTGCCGCTGCCACTGCCGAAACGTTCCACTCACTCACCTCAACGTTTGTCACTTGCCCTGGCCGTATCGCCTCAGCTCCCGTCCCCAAACCCCATGTAACTGTCTCTGTGTGTATGTGCGTGTGTATGACTGATACGAAACGTGTGAATACAAAAATAAATTAAATAACATTAGCTTAAGGTACACCTTGCCGGATCGCCACTGTATGTGCGACAACAGCAGCAACCGCAGTAGTAGCAGCACCAGCGACGTCGCCGCCAACGCAGACGTTGAGGCGCCGCTAATGTATCAACCATTCAAAAGCTCTTCTCGTTTCTATGTACGTGGCAAAAGCTTATGAAAGCTCACGTAGTGTAGCGCACGCTCTCACTCTAACTGGTTAGCCAATTTGAGGATCATCCTACACAGAATGCAGTTCAAAAGCTCGTTGGCCAAAAGCTTTTCTGGGTAGCGTGCATTAAGAGTGCGGCTGAAATTACGTGAGCGCAGCGCGACGCCTCGACGCTGTTCCGCTGTCCACTATGCGCTGCCCGCTGTCCGCTGTCCGCTGCCCGCTTCCCACTGCTTACCATACACAGAACTATTTACAACGGAATTTCACACCAAAGGTGTTCGCTTATTTCGACGCGAAATGCGCATAGCATCATCGGGGACCCAAAAAAGCAGCGAAATACATACAAACACAAACATATGTGTGTATATATGTGTGGCGGTGAATTGCGAAAGCAGCGCGCGGGCGGCAGTGGGGCTGCGCGGCAGCAGGGCAGCGGGTAGCGCACAGTTTCCTGTGCGACGCATATGTAGCCCCCACAACCTGTTGTAGATCGGTCATCGGACATGGACATTGCCAGGGTTGCATGTGCGCCATGTGCGATACGCGACCGACTGGTTTTGTTGTTGTCGTTGTTGTTGCTGTTGTTGGCGCCAGGGCTGCCATGGAAAATTAGTTAAGAGCTGGAACTGGCTGCCGCTCTGTCTGCCGTCGACGTCTCCCCAATTGAAAATCGACAACAGCGCGCAGCGTTGCAGGCGGAGGCGGCAGCAACAGAACCGGCATGCATACACACACACACACACACACGCAGATACATAGGCGCACACATATACACTGTGGCGCTGCGGGCAGCAGGCGAGGGCAGCGGGCAGACAGACGAGTTATTTGCTGCGGTGTAAAAAAACCTGTTTGTTTAAACAACAATCTTGTACTAAAAATACATGCGCCTCATRAGCACACACACACATGCACACGGACAAAGCAAAGCAAACGCACACTTAAACAGCAGCAGCAACGCCAGCAGCGACAGCGAAAGAGAGCGAGAGCGTAATACGAAAAAACTCGCTCAGAGTACACACAAGCACACATACGCACACTTATGTGTATGCACTGTGTGGCGCTTTAGCAGCGGCAACGGCTGCCAGTGTGTCTGCCAGCGCGCCAGTCGTTGTCGCCCCCCGTTGATGCCTCGCTGCGCCCTCTGTGCTAGCAGCAGTCTCAACAGCAACAGCAACAGCAGCAGCAGCAGAAGCAGCGCCATTGCAGTTTACCCGTTTGCCTGCACGTAGGCGTCCGCGGGTCTGGCTCAATGTGTCTGTGTGTGTGTATGTGTGTATATGTTGGCGTTGAAGGGCCCCGTTCCCGGGCAGCTTCTAAATCGACAGTTGTTGTTGCTGCTGATGTTGTTGTTGTTGCTGTTGTTGTTTCTGTTGTTTTTGTTTTACGTTTATTTATGCGCTTTTCGTTCAGTTTCGTTCGATTCATTTCGTTGCGGCGGCACCGAACAGAAATTGACTCAAATTGACGACGACGTTGGACACAACGGTGGCAACGCCAAGACCCGCAAGCCCCTCTCTCTCACCCGTCCTCTCTCCTGCTCACGCTCCCTGCTGCTAGCCAGCGGCTAACGTCAGGTCAGTTGCCAGCTAAAGAATGCTGGGACTGCGACTGCGACTGCGACTGCGACGGCGACGGCGACTTTTGCGGCGTTTGCTAACTAGCAAAGAGATGCCAGATCGAAACCTAACAACACCTGAAGCTCACTCGATATTGTGTACGTGTGTGTGTGCGTACATGAAGAGAGGAGAGGAGAGGAGGCGAGCCGAAGCTTCGCATGAGCAGCAACCGCATTTAAAGTCAGTCGAAGCGAAGCGAAACAGCAACAGGCACACAGGATCCAAGAAATTCCAATTCTTGGAAAAGTTAATAAAAGTTTTGCCTTCGCGCGCGTTGCCGCCTTTCACACACACACACACACACAGGGGCTATACATACGTATGTATGTATGTATGTATGCCTGTATATTTATGTATGGGTGTGTGTGTATGTTTGTGCATTTTTATGCGCCTCCAGCTTCGGCGGCCCAATGTCTGCCTCTGTCTCTCGCCACAGCAATGCCCCACACACACACACACACATGTATACATATATACATACATGTATATATGTAGCATTGAAACCCTCGTCATGCCTGAGACGCGACTGACCATGGGCCCCGGCCACGTTCCTTTAAGGCAGGCCGCTTTCTTTTCCAAGAAGAACTATCCATTAGGCGCCTGAGATCGACCAGCGTTCCAGCCAGTCAGCCAGTCAGCAGTTGGCTCCACTGGCAGCTCCCAGAGTTCCAGTGTCCGGGCACTGTGTTTACCTGGAATTGGCCAAGATCGTGCTGTAAATGAAACGATCGCCAAATGATCCTTTGGCTGGCAACTATGCAGGGCCGCGTCTTGGACTTTGGGGCTGCCTTCAGCTCGGTTTTCAAAAATATTTATGTTGCGGAAATTTCCAGGCATCGATCGTAACGATCTTCGAAAAGAGAAGAAACGTCGAAAATGTAGAACATACCAACAGATTGAAGCCTCTAGATGCATTCGCTTCATATATGTATGTACGTACATATACATATATATTTATGTGTATACTATATATACATATATATAGACGATCTATAGATTGGAGAATGAAATGAAAAAATAGATTAGTGAATCGGTTGATTGAGACGATCGCTCTTTGACAGCAGCTTATCAGCGTTGAATTGATGAGTTGAATGCAGCTCGATCTGAAACAAGATCAAGTGAATCACTGTAATTGACATACATATACAGGTACTACGAATATAAAGATTTTTCTGTTTAGAGAGCTGGTCTTCTTTATATAACAAATCGACTGAACTAAGAGTACTTCAACAAATAAATAATTATTTTTATGAATATATCAATCGATATAGATTCTATTATAGAATGATATTATATATTATTATATAATGATATCTATATGAATTGAATTTTCTATATAAAACATTCGGATATAACAAGTCGGATGAATATATCAATAAATTATATGTAGATATATATAAGAGCTGTACTGAAAATTGTAAAGCTTCTACTTATATTGTACATATATGTATATATACTTTATAAGTGTGTCTCTTTTAATATTTGCATGGCCCTAAAAAAGATATAAACGTATTTGAACAATCAAAACTGCTGTAACCAGATTTATAGGGAATTCGAATGGAACAGCCCTAGAATCTCTAATCGAATCGCATTCGAATTGCACTTAGAACACAAAACATAAACGTCAATCATTCAGTTAGTCTGTTACTCAATCGGTGCAAATAATATTACATATAAATTTATATATACATATATGTATATAGGCCTATCTAGACTACATGACTAAATCGGTTGATTAAAGCAATCAAATGATCTTTGACTTTGAGTTATCAGCTCGCAAATTGATGAATTGAAATGCGAATCGATGATCAGTACAACAGAGCAAGAAGAAGAAGCTAAAGAGCTTGACTTAAAGAAGTGTTTATTGATTCGAGGAACTATATAAAATATATTGTGGAAAAGATCATTGAAATCGGAGTGGCAACGAAGTAACTCAGGTTAGCTAAATGAAAATGACTGCTTGATTAACTTGAACAATGTGAGCGAGAATCGGGAAACTTGGATAGAGTCGAATGGGATGAGTCACGGAAATCGAACGAACTCAACTCGAAGATATTGAATTTCAATTGATACTCGAGTTCGACTGAAAGCCTTCACATGGCCAACTTGTTATATGGGAGGGCCATAAAACTTGCGTATGGGATTTACACACAGTTAATTTGGGATTATGTGCATAAATGAATATCAATATTTGTTGGAGTGTGCTTAGACAGATCCGCTGGATGCCTGCACACGCCGT